ATAGACTGTTTTACTCTTGTACTTAAATTGTTTTACGAAAGGATAAATAGTTTATTGGTAATCAATTGTGGCAAATTATAATTTTACCATAGCTGATTTTCTTTATCAAAGCATATGTTTGGCAATGATCTTGACTTCCTTAGCCAAAATTACCTATGAGGAACAATGCTTTGTTTTTTATGCTTCTGACTTTGCATGATAAGGCTTTTTATCCTTAGCCCCATTGGTAAAAAATATCTTTTTTGCTCTGTCTAGCGTGCTTTGGCACTTCAGAATGCAGAACGACAGTTTATTTATGTTTTGCCTGTCGGTCTTATTCCAGTTGACTCATCTTCATTGACTTTACTGGGACTTTTTTTAATTTCATCTTGACTGTTTATTTAAGATAATTTTTTCTAGCAATTATTAAACGTCTTCATATGAAACTTTTGTTTGTATTATTAATTTAGATTTTCAACCTTTACCTCCATTATTTCATAAGATTACCCAAGAGGGTATTTTTCACTTATATATTTTTACTGTTTCCGTTTATGTTTCTTCATGCCGAGCAAAAAGTATATGCACCTTCATTTTACTTCAAGTTTCTCTTTGTTCAGAGTCCTTATTTTCCCACATATTTGTACTCGTGTAGAATTTCATCAAATTTATTTTGATTAGCTACTTTTTGTTTAGTAAACTTGTTATCTAATTACATTACCTCATTTTGCCAATACTATACTTATGCATTTCTATCGGCATATGATTGCAAGCGCTTCTAGTTCATTTCTTCAATAAAAATGGTCATAATTCTGCATTTTTTCTATGCATAAACTCTTATTTATCTATAATTTGTACTATTTTGTTAGACTGCTTTATCTGAAGCAACCGGCCGGGTTGCCTCCCTCGAGCAACAACTTGATCAAATGACAACTCGTCTCTCCGAGTCTGCCCACCAATTATCGGAGGCAGCCTCTGCTCATCAGCTTGCCTTGGTCACACAAGATGCTCTAAGGTCTCAGTTAGATAGGATTGTTGAGGATCTGACCACTGCGCGCTTGCGCCTGGTCGGCCTTGCTACTGGCCGCCATATTCT